CCCCACCCCACCCCCCGCCAGGAATGGCCCGTGTACCTTCAGCACTCCTGTAGAGAGCCCGCTGGAGAAGGAAGGATCGTGGGCCAACAGGCACTGAACACCTTCAGTGGGAAAGGCACTGTTTTAAACTGTAATATGACATGCATATAAAAGTATCTGAAAAGGTATGTCCACTTTAAATAACTGTAGCAAAACAGATGCCTCATCTCCCTCCTACCCAAGTCAGGAAAGAGAACATTAGCATTCCCAAGAAGCCCCTGCCTGTTTTTCACTTCTTTTGTTTGTTTTACTTTTTTTTTTTTTAAAGGCCCAGGGTTTTGATAAAATTTATGAGTCTCAGTTTCTCCACTTTTTCAGTGGAGAAGACAAGCTATTCGTAGGAATGTGAATGGGATGGAGTATGTGTGCTCTGGGGCTCGAGGGGAGGCTCTGATGGTAGAGTGGCTCTACGTGGCCTGGTTGCACTGTGAGGCTCCTGGTTCTACTTTAGAAGTGATATGTTCAGGCTTGAAGATTTCTGCACTCGGGTGGGAGCTGGACCCCGGGACAGGTTTCATCAGGTGAGGCAGTACTGAGGTAGACCTAAGAACAAGGAAATGCAAAATTAGCTCTGGCAACAGGCACTGCCTTCGCCTCCAGGTGAGCTCCCAGTCAAACATGATGAAATACTTGCAAGAAGGTAATCCACTGAAGGACACATGAGTTTAAGGGTACTTAAAGCATCATGCGATGGAATCAGAAGCACATGGGGTTCATCAGAAAGATGTCTTGAGAGAGGTGGACATAGAGCAAGATATTAAAGAAAGGGTAGAACGTTAATGACTAAACAAGAGGAGTGGGGCTTTCCAAATGGGGGAAGTGAAATGGCAAGTGCCAGGTTCTTGGTAGGGCTAGTGTCCTTTTTGACTGGGATGGTCATGGTTCTCCCAGCCCTGTAAATAGTCAGGGACAGTGGAGGATGTGAGAATGCTGAGGTCACCTGTTTTTATCCCACCTGCACCTAACATGTGGCGGGCAGGAGTCCTGAGGCCTGGGATTGCCCACTCTCACCCCTCTGCCTTCAGTAATATTCAGAGAAGCCTTGGGCGTGGTGGGCTCGGGAGGAACTGGTGACCGACGGGAAAGCATGTGGCAAAGGACGCTCTCTGTTCTCCTGCCACACACTGGGTTCTAGATGAATTCCCAGCTGCCTAGTTCTAGCAGGAACTGTCCTACAGACTCAGCATTTACAGAATGTCCTCTTTGTGTATCTAATTGTGGTTTTTTTGTCTAATTGTGTTTTAACTGCTAATCCCATTAACAAGAATCTCTCCCTCAACAAGGTATTGAAACATCTGGTAGGACCTGAGTTTGGGGTTGAAGTTTAAAAGTGTGGGTATCAGGCTGGGAAAAAGCTTAGCTGGCTTCTCAGTGGAGGCTAACTCAAAACTCATCTATTTTCACCTCTTCTCTAAGAAATGGCATAGACTAGGAGGGTCATTCTTACAACGAGGCTGACTGGACATGGTCCACCTTTATCAGCCAAACACTTAAGCCTCTCTCCATGTTAAGAAGTTAGAACAAAGCTGTTGAGGCATAGCAGATATATTTTGTGATGGCATGAGAAAAACAATATTTGACTTTTCAAACCAAGCGGTTAAAGGCTTTCTTATTCCAGCCAAGTTAACTGAGTGATGTCCAGCCTGGAAAACAAAGCTCGTTGTAAGTACATGAGCCCTGGCTAAGCCATGTGTGGATACAGTAAACACATTTAGACTCCTGGGTCTGTGTTCGTCTTCCTCCAAGCCAGCTCAATCTTGGCAGTTACTAGGACGATAGACTGAGATGAGGGTTTAAAATGACGCAGGAGGGGCCTGGGTTATACAGAAGAAAAAGCTGCTTGACTGAGCATTTAAAATCTTTGGAAAAGCAGTTGTCTAAGGATTAAATCATCTTTTAAAGATGGTTTTGTAGACTTTTATAGACTTGGATAGTTTCCACTCAGGAAATAAATAGGCATAATTAAGTAGCAATCTCCATGTTTGTGTTGAGGTCTCTGCTAGGTAATATTAATATTAAGGACACAAAGATATCGGTGATACAGATATATATATATATATATATATGCCCTGCCCTCTATTCACTCAGATTCTCATTGAGGATTCTGTCTATAGGCTGGTAAAAAGTTGAATGACAGTTTGAGAGAGCACGAGAAGCCATGTCACGAGGCAGTGCACGATTAATTGCAGATAATGAGCTCTCTGGAGTTCAGAGCAGGGTGTGAACTCACTACAGACTGGGATGGTCAGAGAGGGCTCTATGGAGGGGGAAGCAGAGAGAGGGCACCATGCAGGTAACTTGAATCACCATCTTCTATGTTGGCGTTTGTTGAGTCTGTTCTGCCCAAAGACCTGGTAGATGAGGTCACCTGTCCCGATTTGCATTGGCTCCAGCCAGAGTTCTGTAAGCGAGTCAAGAAACGAGGAATTAAAATAAAATTGGGAATGGGGAAACAATTTGCCCCTGGTTTGAGGTCAGCTGTTATGCTGGAGAAGAAATGATTTTTTTTTATGCTGGATAAAAAAATTCTTTATCACTGTGTTTCTAATAGAAACCCCAAACAGGCCTGAGCAGCTGTTCACTCTTCCTGTGGCCCTCAGTGCCAAACCTGGGGTGATGGTTGCTGTCCTGCACTAACCCCAAGCTCCCCAACCAAAGCTTCTGAAGGGCAGTTAGAGACTTCCGCAATCTACTTTGTATCCCAAGAGTAGGACTCTGTGGGTTTTTACAGCGATTCGCTCTCTAATGCTGGCCCTGTTTCCATAGAGACCCTATAAATAGAGGAACGTTGGCGACCTAGGCTTGCTAAAGCTCAGGCTCACGGTGACCCAGTCACCCCACTGAACCCTCACAGCCAAACCGTTGAGGGAGGGGCAGAGGGAGTTTCAAGCCCAGGTGGGAGGAAGGGACAAGCAGTCAGGTGCCAGCTAGGATAATTAGCTGTAGGTTAGTGTGACTTTTTAAGATCCTTTCAGCTTTTCTGGGAGTTGTTAAGATTCCCAGATTCCTAAGGGACCTGTCGGAATTAGGAGCCACATTGGCTATTTTTAATCAGGTGGTGGCAAGGACTCTGTACCCTGAAGCATTTCACTTTTGGCCTCATGCAGCTGTGTTTACACATTTCAGAGCAAACTTCCTCTTTGGGGGACCCACAGCTAGGGAGGAAAACGGACGAAGCCTCACTGTTCGGCCTTCTCAGGAAGGATCTTTCAGAAAACATCGAGTCCACCCTTTCTTCCTGAGAGGATGATGGCCCCCAAAGAAGACGGAGTCCTTCCTGCCCTTAGAGCTAGTACCAGGGGAGGAGACAGCAGCCTTCTCTCATTGACCGCCCCATGTCTGGACACCTGACGCTGGAAACTCTCTTCTGGCCCACATCTGGCCTCTGGGCAGTTCTGGGGGGCAGCCCTTGCTCGTTCTTTTGAACCAGGAGAGCTTTGTTTGTGTCCAACCTCTAACTCCGAAACATCTCAGCTCTCTTTTCTGAATACATGGCTTCATTTGGCCACCAAAATGGTTTCTAGCAGCTGGGGAAAAGCAAAAGTCAGTGTGGAAAAGCAAGTGACATTTAGTAGCTGGAACCTGTTAGTCAGAGCAGGTGGTGCTTTCTGCTGCGTTGGTGGCTAAGTTCCCTCAAGCTAGTCACCATGGTTTTCCTCATTTCCAAAACTTGTGGCTGGCTATGTGGATGTGCTGAGTTGTTTTTTTATTTTTTTTTCTTTAAACACTTACCATGCTATGTGAAAACTCCTTAACCATCTCCTCCCTGACACCCACATGCAGAAGGAGCCCAACCCATGTCACCCTGTTTTCTTGCCTTGCACCTTGTAAGGGAGGAAAACCCCTTGCGTTTGGAGCACCATCTCCCCATTATTCTTTCCTTCGTGCCTACCACAGACTTGAGCAGACTCCTCAGTGCTGCTGGGCAGAGGTCCTGCTTTCCTTCACCTGCAGAATGGAGGGAGATGGGACATCAAGGCCACCGCGGCTAAAGGTCTTGCCCAGGTCCTACATGTGACATGAGCAGATCCATCACTACAGTTCAGGGGACTGAACTCCCTCAGCCCAGGCATTTCTGTTTTGTTTTGATGCTGCCTTTGATACTGTCCTGGGACACAGGTAAATACCGTATCTACTGTACTGTTGGAATCGGTGTGTGAGCCAGTAAAGGTCAATTAGACTAGAAGCTGGAGGTTCGTCTGTGTGACTTGGATGAGCCAATTAACTATGCTGGCCTCAGTTCCTTCATCTGCAAAATGGAAACACTGCTACTGTATCTGTCACACCCGACTTCCTGAGGGTAGGCTAGCGTTAGGCTGGAATGACAGCATAAATTGGAAAGCACTTAGAAAAATGTTGTTGTATAATATTAAAAATAAATTACCCAAGGATTTTAGGATACATGGCACTATGACAAACAGTGGTGGCTGCTGTCCACAGCACCTCTCCCCTTTTCCTGGGGCTGAAGGAGAGGAAATGCCTCAGGGCTCTAGGACCACTGATGAGGTCTGTTGAAGGGAACTCTTTACCTGAGTGAATATAGGAGAGTGGCCTCAGTGTTGGTGAAGCTAGTTTAGGAGTGACGGGGAGAGGAGAAAGAGACCTGGAATAGAATGCTAGCAAGATAGTTTGTAATACGTAATGTGACCGTTTGGCAGAAGCAGCTGGACCAATGCCAGAGCCAGCTGGCCCCATCCACAATGCCTGGAGGGAGGTCTGGTACCAGCTTTGGCCTGAGGAGGAGAGAGGTATCTTGGCTCCTCTCTGGTCTGATGCCTCGAATCTGGCCCTTGCCAGTCCATGGCGGAGTGTGCCCCCCAGTTTGGTCTGCCTTGGATGTCTTGGTTCTACCCAGAGTAGACTCAGGTGGTCTTGCCTCAGGCAAGCCCTGAGGTGTTGGTGGCTCTTGGGGGAAAAGCTGGCACCGTGTAGCCTAATGTCCCTAGGGCTGCCCGAGAATTAAATTCTTGAGAAGGAAGGGTGGTAGCCTTAATTTCCTCATCTAAAAATGGAATTGTTACTGCTGTTGCTTTTGTTAGTTTCTGGAAACTAACTATCAAGTGAGATGATATAGGAGAAAAAGCACGTTGACAACGATAAACAGTTCACGGTGAGTTGTGATGATATAACTTATCTGGTCTGTAAAATGGGTGATACAAGGGCCCCGCCCGCTTTGAGGATTGTGGGGAGACTCAAGTGAGGTGAAATATGAAAATCCTTGACATCCAGACTTAAGTGCAGCAGTCTCCACAAACAACACAAACAAGTATAAAGTAACAGTGGGATCAGCTAAGAAGATCTAAAGATGGTGTTTTCTTGGTTTCTACATGGTTTAAGTTTTCTGCTGTGTAAGTTTTGTTTCTAGAAAAAAAGAAAATCTAGTTAAGTATAATTCTTTGGAATGTTTTTTTTTTTTTTAAATGATGTAGGCCGCCTCATGCTATTAGGAGCTGTTCCTCACAGATGAAGCCCCGCTGTGGCTCATGGAGCCCCAAGTGGCTGGGTTCTGAGTTCCTGTTTAGGAGTTCAGAGTGTGGGTTCTCAGCTGGTACTCCAAGTGCCAGCCCTCCTCCCATTGGCTCCGAAGCTCGGCCGAGGGCTCGGCCTGCTCAGATAAGTCAGCTCCCCGCCAGAAGCAGCTGTCTGGTATTACACCACACGTTGTCTCGCCCTGGCTGGGTGGCCCAGCTGCCTCTGTCTGAGCAGCCCTGCCTGGGGAGCAGGTGGGCCATCTCAGCAGCAGAGTTAACAGGGCAGCCTGGGGCCAGGGCCTCCTTGGTTTGTTCCCGTCTGAGGGCAAAGGCACTCATTTGGACAGCTGGTTCTGATGTGTATGCTCAAGAAGTGGCCACATGACTGACTGTACTAAAGGCATGCCCACAGAAGTGAAGTTTATTTATTTATTTATTACATTTACCAATTTTTTATAAAGGATACAGATGAACAGCCAGATGAAGAGGTGCATAGGGTGGGGTCTGGAGGGGTCCCAAGTGCAGGTGCTTCCGTCCCAAAGGAACTGCAGTGTCCCCCCCCCCCCCCGGCCTCTGGATGTGTTTATTGACCTGGAAGCCCCAGTGAAGTTCATTTTATTGCCAACTATGTCAGCAATGAGATTGGCTCCAAAAAGCAGAAAATTGTACTACAGTTGCATAGACGAAGCTATATTGATTTCATGCAGCAAGAATCCCAAGATAGGCATTCACAACTGGATTGGTGGCTCTGTAGGGCCATCAATTTCCCAGGCCTGTCCCTTGGGGCTCTACTGTGCGCGCGCGCGTGTGCGTGTGTGTGTGAGTGTGTGTGTGTGTGTTTAGGCCTTCATCGTTATGCCAGTCATCTTGTGGTAAGATGGCTGTTGCATCTCCAGGCATTACCTCCACATTCCAGACAGGAAGAAGTAGGAAGGGCCAGGACCTTTATCAGGAAAGCAAAAGTCTTCCTACAAATTCTTAACCTTGCTTTTCTTTGGCCCAAACTGTGTCACGTGACCACTCCTAGCTGCAAAGGAGTTGGATGAAGCAAGAATTTTTAGCAAGGTGCATTAAGGCCAGGCAGTTTGGTTGTTAAGAAAGAAAGGGGAAAAGATATTGGGTAGGCAATTAGCAGTGTCTGCTACAACAGTATAGCCTGAGTGTATGACCCTGATGTTTCCAGAGTGTCACAATGAGGTCTCTTTGGAAATGAATGACTGGTAGTCTAGAAAAGCCAGTGCAGCTCGAAGGAGGACCTGCCTTATAAGGAGGGAGGGACTAGGGACAGGGGGAAAATTAGTCCGGAGGCTACAACCTCAGGAGCCAAGTGAGCCCCAGACTAGCCACAAGGCTCTCGTGACCAGTCACCCTGAACCCATGTATGGATTGAGAGTGTCCTATGGGGCATCACCGGGGTGCATTTTTTTGGAATGAAAGGAGTGGGTCTGGGTTGCCACCTTTCGGCAAAGTGTGACCTTTTAGGTGTGACCAGCCATTTATAGGGATCTTTCAGATTCAGACAACTGTGATACCTACACTGATCTCCCAAGAACAGACTCCTCACATCTATCCCCACCAACTGGGCATTCGGGAGTTTTCCACTCATAGGGTTCTTCGTGTCTCCCCCTTAAGAAAATCCAGCAGCTCTCAGAGGGCTCCATGTTCGGCCACGGCCTGAAGCACCTGTTCCACAGCCGGCGCCGGTCGCGGGAGAGGGAGCACCAGGCGTCTCAGGATTCCCAGCAGCAGCAGCAGCAGCAGCAACAGCAGCAGCAACAGCAGCAGCAGCAGGGTGTGTCCGACCATGACTCCCCAGACGAGAAGGAGCGTTCCCCTGAAATGCACCGTGTCTCCTACGCCATGTCCCTGCACGATCTGCCTGCCCGGCCCACCGCCTTCAACCGCGTGCTGCAGCAGATCCGCTCCCGGCCCTCCATCAAGCGGGGTGCCAGCCTGCACAGCAGCAGTGGGGGCAGCAGCCGGCGCACCAAGAGCAGCTCCCTGGAGCCCCAGCGCGGCAGCCCCCACCTGCTGCGCAAGGCCCCCCAGGACAGCAGCCTGGCCGCCATCTTGCACCAGCACCAGTGTCGGCCCCGCTCCTCTTCCACCACCGACACGGCCCTGCTGCTGGCCGATGGTAGCAACGTGTACCTCCTGGCCGAGGAGGCCGAGGGCATCGGGGACAAGGTGAGGCGGGGCAAGATGAGGGCCTTCCAGGTCGGGGGGCTACTCAGAGGCAAGCACCATCTGCTAGGGAGGTGCTTTGGACCTGGATCTACTGGGGGGAGGGGAGGGTGGTTCTCTGGGCCTGAGGAGCTGAGCTGGTATGGATGGATGAGTGGATAGCATAGGGTGATAAGGCTGTGATAGAGGCTGTGGGAGCTTCAGGGGAGAGGGGTGATTGAGCCAGGGAAGAACTGGGAGGAGGTGCAAGTGGAGGAAGGGTGTAGCATGTACAAAAGCAAGTAAGCTGGTGCTGGGGGCTACTAGGAGTTCACTGTGGTTGGGGTGTCAAGCAGTTTTCGGAACTGACAGTTAGACTGAGGCTGGATCACATAAGGCCTTGCCATGTTGAGTTGGGCGATATTGTGAAGCTATCAAAGAGTGTTCGCTAGGACGAGGTCCCCCTGGGTCTCAGTGTAGACAATACGCATAAATTGGGAAAGGGAATAGGAGTGGAGTCAAGGAAAGCATTTGAGGAGCCACTGTAGGAGTCTCGGCTGCAGCAGCAAGGATGGAAAGGAGACAGATTCAGAAGACCCTTGGCAGGTAGAACCAGTAGTACAAGGTGAGATGTGGATATGGAAGGCAAAGGAAGGGAAGGAGTAGAGGATGATTCCAGGGTTTAGGGGCAGGGCATTCTCTAGCTGGGAAAACATGGGAGCATGTTTGGGAGGAAAGTGATGAGTTCAGGTTTGGAGCCGTCCAACTACAGAGCCCCATCTGGCAGCGGGGTTCATGGGGTGATGTCTGGGCTGGGGCTAGTGCCCTGGGAGTCACGCCAAGCTTGAAGTCATGGGTATGGATGAGACCCCAGAAGGGCATGCATCAAGTGAGAAGGAGGCCAAGGACAGATCTGGCATATAAGGGACAGAGCAGCCGCATATGTAGGAGTAAACCTGGAGAGAGAGAGGACACCAAAGCGAAAGCAGAAAGGAGTTTGATGGAGGAGGAAGTATGCAATGGAGTGAAATGCTTCAGCGGGGACAGTCAGATCAGGATTTGGAAATGTACATAGGCAATATCAAGTGTGTTTGGGGGGGCGCCACTTGTAACCAGCAAGAAGCCAGTTTCAGTGCATTGAGGAGATGGTGGGAGGGGAGGCAGCATGTGTAGCTTGTCTGGGGAGGAGAAAGGATAGCAATAATGGGTCGGGGCAGTTTGGTTTTTGTTCATTTTTAAAAGATGGGCTGGAAGCGTTGCAGATTACATAAAGCCTAGTAGGCCAGGAAAAGGGCTTTTGACTTAGAAGGTTTTATACAGATGAGTGACACCTTTTAAGAAGATCACTCTGGCTGCTGCTGCATGGAGAATCGGCTGTGAGCTAGGGCGTGAGCATGGAGCTCAGCCAGGAAGCTGTGGGAATACGCCAGGGGTGAGATGATGGTGGCTTGCAGCAGGGTGGGAGTGGTGGAGGCGAGGGGAAGCGGCTGAATTCTGGATTTGCTTCATAGATTGAGCTACATCCATTTCTGACAGATGTGGGGCTTGATGAGGAGCAGGCAAAGATGGCACACAGGTTTCTGGCCTGGCAGCTGGAAAGAAGAAATTGCCATTAACTGAGTTGGGGCAAATGGAACAATTATTTGGCAAGGGCTTTGGGGGTAGAAATCAGAGCAGGTTTTGGACATGTTACATTTCAGATGGCTGTTAAACATCCACGTGGAAATGCCAAGTAAGCAGTCAGATGAATGAATCTGGAGTCGGGGAGAGATCCAGGCTGGAGGCATATGTTTGGGAGTTGTCAGTGTGTAGATAGATCGATTTAAAATGATGGCACTGGACCATTTGAAAGCATAGTTTCAACTGCGAAAGAGTCTTTTCCAAGAGGGAGATCTGGATGTATCACCAGAAGGGTAATGTGGCCTTATGGAGTAGAGACCCCGAGGGGCCCAGCAAAACTTTCACCCCAAGTGCAGTGTCTGCAGCAGCAGCCAAGCCCACCTCTTGCTGCTGAGTCTGAGTACATTTTAAAAATCAAATTAGAGCAATCCTGTCAAGTGAGGGTCTCTGGTGCTACAGCTACTTTACAAGGAGGGAGACCATGAACCTTGGAGTCTCTGCTGCCTGAGTATATAGAGTGAGTGGGCACTGGGCACCGTGGGAAGCTGGAAAGGGTTGTAGACGTTTGCTGACTGGGAACGCAGGGGCTGAGGAGCGCGGGGACAGGCACATCAGCTGGGGAGCTCCTCCCGAGACTTCTCCATGGGGCTCGTGCTTGATCTTCACGCTGCCCCCGAGATATCTGGACGGCAGGCAGGTTTTTTTCTTGCTGCCATTCAGGACCAGGCTGGGAGACTCTTTGGTAAGCTGATTGGGGGATGGTTCTCTAGGTTCAGGGTGGTGATGGGGCAAATGGTTGTTTCAATGACTGCTTTCTATCCTTATTTAGAACTTTTAGCTTTCCAATGCTGTCATGTGTACTGCCTAATGAATCTCAATAACATCCCTGTGAAGGTATCAGAGCAGGTGTTATGATCTCCATTTTACAGTTGGATAGACTGAGACCTAGAGGAATGGAGGCTTCTTGCCTGAGGGCACCCAGCCACCCAGCTAGTTCATGGCAGAGAAGAGACGAGATCCCATGTTTCTAGCATGTCCTCAAGATCAAACTGAGATCTGAAGTCACCAAAACCATTAGGGACCGTTTTATGCAAGATCCACAGGGAGCAGGTTTGCCTCAGCCCAAGGAGGGTGATTTGGTCTCTTGTTTGCCATTTCTCCTTCAGTCATATAGCTTTCCTGAACTGGAGCTGTTCCCCCAAGGATAGGCGTCGCCCTGGGGGGTCCTAAGGAGAGGGGATACTTCTGTGTCCCAGGAAAGGGGTCTTCTAGCCATCAGTAAACCCTGCTCTGTCAGCTGACTCCCCCAGACCCAGAGGCCATTGGTTGGTGTGAGAAGCTGTGGTGGTTCCACCCTGGTCTCTGGCATGAATAGAAAGTATTCTTCTCTCTCTAGTAAACACAGCCCCACATGCTCTCTGCAAGCTCCCTGGTGACTACTAGCATCTATTTTTAATTCATAAGCCTCCCCCACTACCCACACCCCTTGCCATTGTTTAGAATGCACCAGCTGGCTTTCGGACCAGAGAGGGCCCTGTCAGGGGTTGAGTTACCGAAACACCCTGGAGGCAGCTAAAGTTCCTCAGCTGTCCTGGAGAGGCTCACCCCACCCCCATCCTAAGAAAGCAGGGGACTTGGAGCCCTGAGGAGAGTAGGGTTGCAACCCAGGGACAAATAGGGGCCCACAGTCCAGCAGCAGCTCAGCCTTGGTGATGTAATCTGGAATTCATTTGTTCCCTCCAGACCCAGTTAGTTACCTTCAAGGTTGTGTCTTAAATGAGTTCCCTTTAAAACAAAAACAAGTTGTCGTCTCAGCCTCGCCATTCTGCTTTCTGTTACTTGTGTGACACTGTGCAAGGTAACAGCTACTCCGTCTTATATCTATAAAATGGAAAAAATTGTCATCATTTGTTGGTACACTGGAGCATTGGCAGGTGAATAGAGAAGGCAGATGACATGACGTCTGGGTTCTCCATTGGTGTATGGACTTAACCTCCGGGAAACCTGGGCTCTGGAGCCTGCAGCAGGAGCCACTGGTCATATGTGCAGTGGCAGTGGACTTGGGCTGCCGGGTTCCTCAACAAATGTGTCCCCACCCTTTATTTATTTATTGTTTGCTTTGCTGAGCAGCAGTTCCTAGAAAATGGGTGCTCTCAGGAAAACTGAGGAACTCTTGTGTCTGTCCTGCCCTTACACCCTGCTCCCAGACTTTTAGGGAGCGAATTAACGGGTCAGAGGCTTGTATTCCTCTTCTCCCATTCCTGCCATGTCTGGCTTCGTCGTTGCTTCCCTGTCAGCCTTGTTCAAAACCGCTTCCCAACTGTCACCACATGCCTCTTGCCCCTTCTGGACTGTGCAGGGTGCACCCAGCTGGCAGGTCTGCGGAGAGGGGTAGCACAGGAGTGCTGGGTTTACAGCCAGCCCTACCGGGCTGGCCCCTGACCTCGCCCTAGCTGCCCCTTTCCCCTTCTGTGCAGTGTGGTTGGTCCCCTCTGAGGACAAGGAGCAGCATGGGGTGGGAGCCGGGAGCCCGCAGAGGGCATCTGGACAACCTTAGGAGATCAGCATGGAGGGGCTCAGTGGCAGGAGGACTTGTACTGACAGGCCAGCCTGCCGCCCTGGCTTTGAGGGCAGGCAGGATGGGGGAGAGGACCAGGTGCAGTGGGGCAAGGAGGAGAGGGTGGAGAGATGACGTCATGACTGGATGCTTCCTTGTGGCCTCATGGCGGGTGTTATCTCCAGGCCCCAGATGGGGAAACCAGTGGTGTTCAGCTCATCACCTAAACCAGAGCAGACTTTGGACAGCCTGTCCCGCATACACTGCTCCACCAGATTTATCCAGCAACAAGATTTCTCCTCTGCCCTGGCGTAAATAAGCACCCCTGTTTACTTCAAGGAGATGGCAAGTGAGGGGCCGCCCTTAACCCTAGGCTCTTGCCAAGAAGACAGATTTTGGCAGGCACCAGGGACCCTGGCTTATTTATGTCTGGGAGCCTGCTGGTTTAGAGGTGGGTGGGGCCAGCTCTGCTGAGAGGTTTTCAAACATGTCCCCGTGGCAGCTGGGGGAGGCCAGGCTGTCCATCTGTGAGGCCTGCTGATGTGTCTGAGCTTGTAGACCAGGTTACACGGGAGGCCTAAGGGACAGCGCTCTAGGGTCCAGCTGGGTCCCTCGGCCTGTCCACGCAGATGCATCCACCTTCAGAGCTGGGTGGTGATACTCCTGTGCATAGTCACTCGTGTACGTGCTCGGCGTCTGGCCCAGCCTGAACTCGCACCCAGTTGCTGGGCAGGATAGCTGCCTTCTGTTCCCCTCCTCCACCCGATCTCATCCCCCCTTCCCTTCTCTCTTCCTCTGCATTGAAAGGCTCCTTAGGCAGAACGAGAGTCAGAGGCAGCTAGCCCAG